CTGGTAGAAGGGTTAACCGATTCGGCATGATCGAGCTGTTTCACCAAATGTGTTTGACTGGAGACACTGTGGTGTATGGCATCGAACCGAAGTCAGTGACATGAATGCATCCTTTCCCGTGTAATCCCAAAAATAACCAAAACAAAATATAGGGATGATATCGGGTTGCAGCGAGCTCTGGAATACCGCTTTATCCACTGCCATTTTTCTCTCTAGAGAAAGTCTGCGATTGCGTGTCACATTGGGGAGGGACAGGCTGTGATGAATATCTATTGCCAAATGACTTTTGCTTGAAAGTGGGCAGTTACCTACATGCAATACCCGCTCCTCAATGTCGACTTCCTAGCCGCCTTTAGACCGTTGTTTGTTCAACAAATCAACCTCGTTGGCTACTCCCGTGCCTGGGTGCTAGTGAACTCTTGATTTCTTCGTCCTGCAACTCTGACCCGTCCCAATGGAGTTCCCGTCAACAACGTGACCACTGACGTTAAAAAGTAAAGTCACCAAGCTGTCACCGTCACTTCCCTGCTGTGGCCCAACCCTCCCCACTGTGATGGATAGCTCCCCTCATGCGGTTGCTAAGTCTGATGACCGACTTACTTTGGTTTGTTCAGTCTAGCCTAAATTCGGTCCCTTATCAAAATTGATTTCCGCGGCGTTCACTTATGAATGAAATCAGTGCCATGCACACGTCCCAATCTTCTTACGAGTTCTACTCCCTCGACAAATTAGCTTGTCCCGAAGGTTTCACCACGGTATCCTCTAAGAGAGTGTGATGAATGATTGTGTTATAACTCGAAAATTTACCTCTTTTCTGTCTATTCCGTGCCAAAGTCTCACATCCTTTAGCTCCATCTATTCGAACGCGTATAAAAACATGAGAAAAAATTCTGTGCAATATTCAATATGTGCCAATAAGCACTCCCAGCATCTGGTGTTCATCGATCGTACTCGCTCCATCTCAGTATAGAGTTGGTCAAAGTTTTTGTTTTACAAGAGGTAATTTAGACCGTTGTCTGATCATCATTTTCTGTTACAGGAGCGCACAGGATATAATTGTCAACGAAGACGCTGGACATCTCCTGAGAACAAAGAGTGTACACTCCAACGAAGGTGGAATTGCGGCTGGATTCGGATGTTTGGATTCCCCTTTTTTAGTGTGAATGGTCACCCCCTTGGTGCACAAGACGATCATCAAAATCTTTTGATTCATCTTGAATAGTTCCAAACGAAAATTATTTTCTTTCCTTTTGTGATCTCTCTTCTTTATCAACTGTTTTATTGATCGGTACAGTTTGCGAATGTTTTCACGCTACGCGTACAAATAATAGATAGCCTTATTTGAGTCGATAAACAACGCCTGCTCAATATCCTTCGATCGTACCGATGATGTTTTGGTGAAAATGGCTGATTCACGTGCGGTAAACAGTTTCAGATTAATCATAATCATTTGACCCCAAATACCGTCACGCAGACAAGGATTGAAACGGGGTCGTGATAAACACATCTTGGTTGGGTACCAGTGGTGAGGATGAGGAATTCACTCCTTTTCAATAGTAGTACAGTAATCTACGCCACTGGTGTGAAAATACTGCCATCTCACTCCTTGTAAGCGAGACCAAATTTTTATTCCATCGATAGTCTAGGTCTGTTTCACCGGCTTAGCGATTATCTCATATCGGTCCGTGAACTATCGGTATTGGAGTGATAGAGCCCGCACAAATTTAAATACGTTTTCAAGTTGAAAATACGTGCGGCAGTTTTGTATTCCGTTGTGTCGTTAAATATTCAGCAAAACATGATATTTCGAGAAAAATAAATTCAAGTATTATATTACACCCTCTGATGGAGTACATTGTACACCACGTATCTCTTCAAATTTCAATTACCCGCGGTCATTATGGGTTTTGTTTGTTCCGAGTTGCCCCAGGGACTCCATTGATCAGTTGAGTTCAGATACATTTCTTGAAAGCTGTTTTTTTCTTATGCTCCCCAATGGGTGGGATTGTAAAACGGCAAACGGTAGCCTATCCCGGATTCTATCGGGAACCTTAAAACTTTCACATGTAAGGAGCCTGCCTGTGCTCACACAGTTCGAAACTACTGCAAACATTTTCCAGTTGGCCATGGTAAAGCAGTAGAACTGACACTTAACTAATGGAAATATCATTAATAACAACGTCGGACCCTGGCGTTGGTTCAAAATACAAACGATGAATCTTGTCGACCTCGGCTGCCCGCAGAACCCTGCCTCCCGATGCCACATACGCCAGCACATCAAGAGTCTGTGGAAGAGAAGAGGTGGGTAGAGAGATGGAGAAGGCTGCGGCTATCAGCAAAAGTCGCAATCTTTTCCGTCTAATTAGGAATACAGGTAAGGTAATTGAGGAATCTGATGGCACACTGATTCACGATCCGCAACATCGTCCCGGTCGATTGGCTGAACACCTCAAGGCTAAGTTCAACTGGCCCCCATCAACATCTGATCTTTCAGCCTCCACCTTGACTGGACAAGTACTCCCATTTGATGCTAGTCCTCCATCTGAAACGGAGGTTACCCGATAAATAAGTTATCCCAAAAGGCATACGGATTCCGGCCCCGACAGGCTGTCCCCATCGGTTTTTAAGGATAGAGCTTCAGCCTTGGTTTTGGAGTTAACAAAACTCCCAGACTCCGTCAAATTTTGGAGCATCGATATTCCTTTTTAGACCCACCGTCTCCGTTTTTCTCGAGTTGAAAGCAGTTTTCGACTCAGTCGACCGCGCTAAACTCTGGCGCTGCCCGAGAAGTTAATTTCAATATTACGATCGCTTTATACTAATAGCCGAAGTCGAGTCCGAGCCTACGGTACTTCTTCACCCGAGTTCACTACAGAAAGTGGTGTTCGACAGGGTTGCATGGGCAATGGTTGTTCAAACTGAAACTGAAAACTACCACTATCAGCAACTGTACCGAGATATTGAGAAATTGTCCAGTTAGACAGCTGAGGGTGAAAATTGTCGATGAATGCACATGCGAGATGGTTCGCAAGTTTCAAACTTATAAGAATATCCGAAGCCGCACTTGATCCTGCAGCCTGTCTATCCGGTGTTTACCACGGAAAGCGGTGTTCGTCAAGGCTTCACAGTTGCCCTGTCTTCGCGCAAGGACTGTGGTGTCCATATTGTTCCAGGTTACCCCTCTGATCTGGAGTATGTAGAAGATATTGTACCCATAGGTAGAGATCGAGGTAAAATACAGGCTATTTTAGATAGTTTGAGTGTCAATCTAGAGCGTTTTTCTTCCTCCAAGTGTCAAACTGTTACAGGATTGAGATGACCCAGCTCCCGATTTCATGCTGACAAATTGGACCATGAATTATGATGACTAAGGCTCGTGTTATGCATGTCACCCAATAGGCTTTTCGGCATCCGACGTTTGCTGAAGCAGGTAATGGGTGGAAGGAAGCCAAAGGCGATCAAACTAAATCTTACTTTGAGGGTATGAAAGCTCTGATCTCTCTCTCTTGTAGATAGCATTAGACTTCGTGGTTGGGGACCTCGTTATCAAATCAAATAAGGGATATGACGAAAAATAATTGACTTAAAGCACTACGGCAGCTCATCTATCTAGACATTTGGCCTCTCGCGTGCTTAACAAGTTAACGAGACTACCACTGATAGTTTTCTGAGAAGTTGGTGATTTCAAGTTTCCCTTATTGGTTAACTTGGTAACGCGGATGAAAAGAAATTCATACAGGTAACTTTCTTTTGTGACATTTCAGTGCGACTTTTTTTACTGCACACCGCTATTGCGTGCTAGGGTAGTTTGCACCAAACATATTGAAGAGTTATGGTCGATAAAAACCAAAGAAATTTTCATTCTGCCCATTAGGACAACATTTCCGCTTGACAAAAATCAAAAAAATAATAATGTGCATTTATTGAAATACCCGCTCGGTGTTCATGGAACGAGAAATGTATCGGGCGTTTATCCCTTCGCAACTGATAAGGGGTAATACAATTTTTAGGAGAGATCCGCCTCTCTGTTTAGGAAGGAACGTATTTCATCTAGTAATTCCTGTTTTACTGCGTCAGGAATCATACGGCGACCGACAGGAGTGATTTCAGTTACAAGATCATCCACTGTCAGGTTCTCCAGGCCTTTGGTTCGGATTATGTCTATATGAAGAGAGAAATAAAATGTATGTGAAGTGTACGTCTACTATAAAAAGGCATGCGGTTGTCGAAAACTGCCATAACATGGACAAAGTTCACGTTTTCTAACGATTGCTCAGAACACTGGAGTAAAATGTATCACGAAATAAACGCGCCTTCACACATGTCAGCTGAATGTAATCGGATCAATTAAGAATAGGATGTCTAATCGTATTCGTTTTTTAGTAAAAGGGTAGTATAGAATGGAACAATTAGCCAAAACTGTTCCATTAGGTTACTGACTGAAATTTGGCGGCTGCTCCGATAAACCCACTACCCCCACCAGAATTGCGGTTTTCCCAAATTCCCTTGCGGCAGTGATCAAGCGATTAAGGTCAACAACTTATAGCCTCGAGGGAAACTGCATAACTTGCTGTATTTTCCATATACTGTAGGACAGCACTTTTACTTGCAGTTTTCTACGTTCTGAAGATTGCATCGTCAATATTCAATACAGTTAAGAAAAAGCTAAAGCTCGACTAAATTTTCGGTCGCGAATTCCCCAAGAAAATTCAACTGCTTGACCCGGGTAACTAGCGTTATTTCATTTACTAGTGCCAATTTATTTGTCACAAAGACTATTGTACTTCGATTTGTCGAGAATCAGAGGCATGAGAACAGGGTGAAATAGAGTAAAGATTCGTTTTATCAATAAATTCTCCTTCAAAATCCGACTTGAAGTCACTAACCCTGACCGGGCGGTCGCTTTTTGTTACAAATACACAGGACTTCGCTCATTCGAGCTCGTCCCATTAGTAACCATCCCAGCTACTTCACAATCCGGATTCCCTGCCACTTGATGATAATCAAGTGTCTGTGTGTGCAGTGACACAAACTATCTTTTCCTCTGCATTTAGCGCTCTAATTTTGTATTTCATCTTTTACCGCACCAAGGCTTCTTCTTTGTTCAGCGCGTGTTTGCTTTCACTTTCCACACGCCTGCTCAAATTTCGGTATGTTTTCTGCAGTTTTACAGAATACAACCGTCATACTTTTTTGATACATCAGGACTAAATGATGTTAGAAGTGCACTGAAAAATCGATGAGCCAGGTGTTGTTTTATTGTGAGTGTTTGAATGTTAATAACACAACGATGCCGGTAGAAAATTGTATTTACCGATGTTTCAGTTATCGTGGGTAATCTTCCTCAAGGTAGGTTACGCACGGTATCCGAAACGTCGCCACATTTCAGTCACAGTAACCTGATGGAACAGTTTTGGCTAATTTTTCCATTCTATACTACCTTTTTACTAAAAAAACGAATACGATTAGACATCCTATTCTTAATGCGATGGGGCATATTTAACGTTTGACCCCGTCCAAAAAGCGTATGACCCGATTAATTGGACAGCTGTCCCCAATGGACTACAGCCTCAGCTCCGTCCTGCTGTCCTGCAGGTCTGGCTTTTAACCAAACGCTTCGGGTGGGGACCCCAAGATTATCCTCTATCTTCTGCCGGGGCAACTAGGGAGCAACATGCCCCTACAACATCTGAGCACATATTCTACACATTTTCTAAGTTTTCTCGCACACAAACTATTCGCTCTGTGACCGAGTGGTTGGAAGTCGACTCCACAGATTTCCACGTTACCGTATCATCAGAGTCCATTCTTCCCCTTCCTCTATTGTTTAACTTTTTTACTCTTCTGTTTAAGTTAGCGGTGTCCATCGCGCAGTTTGGTGTGACCTTTTTCTATTGAAATGTGAGGTATTATTACAAGACTGGTAAGAGGCTATCCACGTATCCTCACACTCATGAGCGACCAGTTGGAAATCGTCCATTACTTTACGTATCTCGAAAGTTGTTTCAGTTCAAGAGTACTGACAAAAGAAATAGCGCGTAACTCCAAGGCTCGGACGGCTTTCGCTAGCCTACGTCACTTTTGGCGCCGACGCGATCTGTCCCTCTTTGAAGGGCCGCGTTTATAATACGCACAGTCTTACTCCAAGGCTGCGAGAGTTTGC